GCCGTCATTTAGCTGGAATATTGCTGAGCGCGAAGTTGAGAACAGACAAACAAACAAATCACACAAATCAGTTGGCACACGCCAATGCCGTTAGGTATGACACCCTGCTATCATACAAGACTGACAACTCGATCCAATTTACTCGCATTTTATGACAAACAGTGCTGGGTAACGAGTACCAATTTTAATCATCTGGTCCCCGTAAAAAGCGTCAATGCTTGTCGTAAGAGGCGACTAACGAGATCGGGTGGTCAGGCCCGCTGATGAGGTTGATGCATGTCATCGATGAATATACTGATTATACCTGTGTAAATGTGTATTGGAGAAAACTGAAACCTGATTTTTAACAATGATGAATCGTCGATTCTACACTGTACATTAATAATACATGTATTGCTTTAAACACCTAAACTGGCGATTTTATGAACGTTTTAAGTTCATTAAATATCACGTTTTAAGTTGATGTACTCATTTTTGATGAGCAAAACAGGAATTACAAATGGGTCTATAGTATGTTGTTTAGTACTACGGTAAACAATATACGATAGACCCATTTATGAATTACTGTTTTGATCATCAAATTAGGACCCGTGAAGATCCCGGTTAGACTCAATTTTCAGCAATGCAGGCTGGAGAGTCTGAACAGGCAACTGACGAGATCGTTTGATCAGGCTCGCTGACTTGGTTGATGCATGCCATCGAATTCCCATTGCATGGATCGATGCTCATGATATCAATCACTGGATCGTCAGGTCCAGATTATTTGCAGACCGCCGTCATTTAGCTGGAATATGGCTGGGCGCGAAATTGAAAAACAGACAAACAAACAAATCACACAAATCAGTTGGCACACTCCCATGCCGTTAGGGTATGACACCATGCTATCATACAAGACTGACAACTCGATCCAATGTACTCGCCTCTTACGACATACAGTGTTGGGTAACGGGTACCAATTTAAATCATCTGGTCCCCGTAAAAAGCGTCAATGCTTGTCGTAAGAGGCGACTAACGAGATCGGGTGGTCAGGCTCGCTGACGAGGTTGATGCATGTCATCGATGAATATACTGATTGTACCTGTGTAAATGTTTATTGGAGAAAACTGAAACCTGATTTTAACAATGATGAATCGTTGATTCTACATTAATAATACATGTATTGCTTTAAACACCTAAACTGGCGATTTTATGAACGTTTTAAGTTCATTAAATATCATGTTTTAAGTTGATATACTCATTTTTGAGGAGCAAAACAGGAATTACAAATGGGTCTATAGTATGTTGTTTAGTACTACGGTGAACTTTTTAATCGCGTAAACAATATAAGATAGACCCATTTATGAATAACTGTGTTGATCATCAAATTAGGACCCGTGAAGATCCGGGTTAGAATCAATTTTTAGCAATCCAGGCTGGAGAGTCTGAACAGGCAACTAACGAGATCATGTGATCAGGCTCGCTGACTTGGTTGATGCACGCCATCGCATCCCCATTGCATGGATCGATGCTCATGATATCAATCACTGGAATGTCTGGTATCATTTAGCTGGAATATTGCTGAGCACGAAATTGAAAACAAAACAAACAAACAAATCACACAAATCAGTTGGCACACTTCCATGCCGTTAGGGTATGACACCATGCTATCATACAAGACTGACAACTCGATCCAATTTTCTCGCCTCTTAAGACAAACAGTGCTGGGTAACGGGTACCAATTTTATTCATCTGGTCCCCGTAAAAAGCGTCAATGCTTGTCATAAGAGGCGACTAACGAGATCGGTTTGCCAGGCTCGCTGACGAGGTTGATGCATGCCTATATCGCATCCCCATTGCATGGATCGATGCTCATGATATCAATCACTGGATTGTCTGGTCAAGACTCGATTATTTACAGACAGCCGTCATCTTGCTGGAATATTGCCCTAAACAACAAACAAACAAACAAAGATAATATCTGTCCAAATATTCTTTTTAATACCTCCGATTTTAGTTTCATGCATTTATGAATTTCTTTTGCAGGAAGAAAGAAGAGAGAGTGCGGTTGGAAAACCTATTGTAGATTGCGATATGTTGAGGGACTAGGATGGTAAACCACTGTGCACTTGAGTTAACCTGCGTCATCTGAATGTGATGATAAAAAGCAACATCACACATCGACCCTCTTGTAGATTCTTTAGGCTGATCAACATTTAATAGCCCTATGGCACAAACCAGGCCAGATTACACCATTTGACACTTTTCGGTTATTATTTCGGAAAACATTGCATTTGTGTAGCAGTTTGTTTTTTTCCGTGAAATAAAACACATACTCATATATACTGGTATTTTAGATATAAGTTCAGTTTTCTAACCTACAAAATATTTGTTGTGTCCATATTAATTAAAAGGGATGTTGATATTGACTGTTTGTATCCAGTTTTGAAAACCTTTTGTAATTGAATAAAATATTGTTCATGGACATGAGTATTTCTGTCGTTCTTTAACACTTTACTTTACCTGGAATTGCGAATGTAGGATCTCGGCTTTTTTATGATAAATTCATCAGTTCAAAGAAATTTGAAGAAAAAAATGGAGAATTGGAAAACATATAATCTATAAAAATATATAATGGAATAAAATATTTACCCAATTTAGAAATTAGATTGTTAGAGTTCCAGGATAAATTCATATACAAAGTTATTTACATAAAAAAGAATTACTCAGATGAAATTGATTGATAATGATGTGTGTCCCCTTTGCAACTGTAATTGCTAAGATCTTTTACATGTATTTTGTGATTGTGAATGTGTTCTTGGTATTTGTATGCAAGTTCTGTCATTTATAAAAAAGAGGCCTGAAACTTGATATTACTTTCACATGACATACTGGTATTGTCTTTGGACAATAAAATTGTTTGCTATAGCAAACAATTATATCTAATTTGATTCTGATTTCATGTCTTCAAGTCAAGTTTCTGACACCATTGATCGATTGAAGCACAGCATAAAATATCGTAATTACAATTCTGAATACATTATAAACTTGTTTATACCCATATATTCCCTGTTTAAGAATAATGACTCCCAGCATGTACAATTTTGTTAATATCACATGCTGTTGTGTCATAGATTCCTTAATATGGTCTCTGTATACTATTGAAATGGAATAAAAACTGTTTGAAAAAACAACAACAACCTTTGTAACTGGTGTGAGGTGAGAGTGTTTGTTTGTTTGCTCAATAACTTTGAACTAAAAACGTGAGTAACGACATTCTTAATTATATGGCACCCATCATTTGATACTTGACAATTTCAGGTAGAAAGTGTATAATCCCGCATCGACGTTATCATGCATGACTAACACTCTGAGTAAAACCTGATCGTTGGTCGAAGCAGGCGAGTTTTAAACGTCAGCTGACTTGAACGTTTGTAGCATATGTTACAGAGCAATTAACACATAGCATGATGTGTAATTGCCTTCACAGGTCCATAGAATAGGAGATAGCATCAGTCACGTTTCACTGCACATGCGTAAGGCACACCTAGGTGTGTGTGTGTATGTATATGACAAACCCATGATATCACCACACATGCTGTGCACATGTCTTTATTGATCTGTCCAGGCAATCCAATGAGAGTGTTTCTAACTGAAATATGCAATACACACTACCGTGTACGAAATAACATGGCAACGAAGCATGGTTGCTTTGTCTGCTTGTTGTTCTTCTTGCTAAACGATTTCGAAAATTGTTTTGCGAAAAAAGGTGCAAAAAATGTGACGCATTGTTTAATAAATAGTAGTCCCAAATCAGATGTAAATATTGTCATAAAGACGTTGTATACTTGAGGAAGAGACAAAACTATCAATAGCATAGTATTTAAATCAATCACCAAGTTATAAATGACATTGCTCCAAACCGATTGCCGAGTAATACTTAACTCTGCCAAATTTAAAATATTGTGACCAGACCTATATTCACTTACCTATCCGATTCCAGAGATTTTCAAAACAATACCTTTGATTAAGTTTGTATAAATAGTCACATCTAATGATCAATTAAATGTTCACGTGTTGGCATGAGTCACTGTAACTGTGTGAGGTGAGGTGAAATTGGGTTTAACGTCGCGTCCAAGATCATTGCACTTATATAGCGACGTGCATGCACGTGTGTGTGTGTGCGTGTGTGTGTGTCTGCTTGTACTAGTCCGGACTAATGCCGATTTATAGTGCTAGCTCACTGAGATACCATGCCGCAGTTTAACATGAATACCAAATTAAGACACAGTATACTGACTACGAGCCGACCAGTCCTTGTCCTTGCCAACAAGTACCACGTTTTAACGTCTTTTGGTATGACGCAGCCGGGAATCGAACCCCGGATCTTCCGCTCTCCGGGCGGACACTCTACCACTAGACCACGGAGGCGGTCCTGTAACTGTACGTGATCATAGTACAGTGTGTTGCCAAGTTGTTTTACAAGTGAGTGCCTTGATTGATTATCTGAGTGTATTGGTCGCTTTTCAACGAGTGCACCTTTGTCAAAGTGAAATTAAGTAACGCGAGCATCATGACTAGCGATGTGTCCAATCTTACCAAAATGTATTTTGAACCTGATTTGATTTGAATTGTATTGCTCACCACCGTTAACACGTTTGCAATACATTATAATCTCCAGTTCTGATTATAACTATTATCTGACCAAGGCCTACCTACATACCTCATCCAGTAATAGATGGAAGACAAATGGCAGCTAGAGCGTATGATGGTACTACCCTTTCCATAAACAACAAGTAAATGCAAAGGAGGGTGTTATACTACACGTATTTTATTACACCTTCACGTCTTGTAATCTTATCTGACAGCATTCATTGTTGATCTCCGAACGATGGCGCGATAAGGTAGCCAGAAAATGACGTCAAAACCGCGTTAGATCTTCCAAACAAATATGTATTTTCTCTATGGGATTGTACCCATACCTGGTCCCCCTTCTTCAGTTGTAGTATAGCGGAGTTGCTAGCACCGTCATTTTCATCACTGGAACGAGCATAAACACCCACAACAATATTGTTGTTGTGCATGAGCTACAGCCATAGTGATGTTTTTTCTTGAGTTATAGCGTGGATTTGGAAGCTGTAGATCCCGCTCTGAGGACATTTAAACTTCCCCGTATGGCTGTCGTACGCCTTGCCAACGTTCAGGAAGATGTTGTTGTTCCGAAGGACTTGTCCACGGGTAAGCGATACAGGATGCGACAGACCAGTTGAAAAGGCAATCTGGTAGACTGGTTTACCCATCGCAGCTGAAACAAAATATATCTTCATTGAAATTAACCAACGATTTTTTGGAAATTACTTATAATTTGTCCCGGGTAAATGAATTATCTATATCCCCTGCGTTTAGGTGCGCATTCAAGACGGATAGATAATATTCATATTCCGATTTTCGAGACTTTTAAATCAAAATTGAAGAAAAAGGTATGACGATCTTCTTTTTAATCAATTAATTAGTATCGATTTCATAGGTTTTTGAAGAAATAATCAAAATATTAACAAATTTCACTAATATCGCACCATATCTGATGAATCAGCTTCGTAAATGGTCAATATATGATATTTGTGCATATACTAGAACTTTACACATATCGAATGTCGATATCATGATATGTTTATTTCCACTACATAGGATAAATTCTTATTGTTGAATGAGCGTTTCAGGATGCCAGTTAAGAGTTTTATATTATAGAGGATAAAATCAAGTTTCAGGGTCATAAGAAACGACTATGAAAGTGCTCTGGTTCTCCCACGTGTTGCATGTATTCATCACATGCTGAAGGCGTGGGGCGTTGCCCACGGCATCAGCCACTGGTTTGTCTGACTCGATTATAATTAATTGCATCTGGCAATGCTAATAACTTAAACCAATATATAACATTTAAAGGGAGAAGGGACCACGTTCGCCTAGTACAGTAGAGTAAAGCCTCTTACATGCCTTTATCTGTACATATTTGAATATTTAAAACTTGTTTATCACTCGTATATCAGATTCACAAAGTAGAGTGAGTGAGTGAGTTTTGTTTTACGGCCCTTTTAGCAATATTCCAGCAATATCACCAGAAAATGGGCTTCACATATTGTACCCATGTCGGAAATCGAACCCGGGTCTTCGGCGTGGCGGGCGAACGCTTTAACTACTAGGCTACCCGACCACAAACTTATGCAACTTTAGTATCGATTATCAGCAAAAACAGGTAATCAGGGATTGGCTTCAAATTTATTGGCTTTAATAGTTCTCTCAAAACATAGAACAATATCTTCTCAGCCCATGTGCTGGCATTTACATACGCATGAATTGTTCAACACATATGGTAGATTTTAGGGAAGAAGACCTCATGGAAAGTCGCTTAAATTCAGACCAATATTACTCAATAAATCCGTTTGAGTGCTGTAACCATATCACAGGCTTGTTTGCAGGTATCTGGAGAATCCATACACAGTTTTGTATAACAACAAGATAATACATTGTTCTGGTCTTGATACATAACATTAGGTCTCTTACATTATTTTAATCGTCATGTCATCTATCAAACTATCTTGTTGAACAAACATTACCCGCGCCTCGGCACAGTAGCTGGTGTCACAGGAAAAATCAATAGTGTCGATAATGCGTCGGTAGAGATGACTTTCCCTCGATTTTCATATTCATATTTCACTTTTATGATACAGCGTCCGCCCAGAGAGCGGAAGGTTCGTTGTTCGATGGTACTTGTTGTTACCCTGTCTTGTACTCGGCTTTAAGGGGCTAAAACAAGGACTGGTCGGCTCGGAGTCAGTATACTGTGTCTGAGTGGGGTATTCATGTTAAACTGTGGCATGGTATCTCAGTGTGATAGCACTATAAATCGGCATCAGTCGGGACTAGTACAAGCAGCCACAAAAACACAATGCACCTCGCTATGTAAGTGCAATAATCTTGGACGCGACGATAAACCCCATTTCACCTCACAACCTTTAATAATACTCAATAGTTTGTATACAATCCGCATATCAACAAAGGATACCCCTTATGGAATATAAACATCTAACTTACTGTTTAGGGGGACCCTCTCGATGTTCAATCATCACCGTTGCATATAATTGTACGTAAGTTATTTTCCACTTACCCGCAAGGACCACCAACCCTAGGAAGATACTGCATAGGTTCATCTCTGCAAGTGTTAGGTATACCTTCGTGCAGAGATGGTTATAAAGCATACAGGTGTGAAAGTCATTAGCACTGGTGTACCAGGATATAGATACAATTACTGCAACATGTGCTCGTGTCTGTCAGTGAATATAACACATATGTATTTACGTATTGAAGTATGGCGTGAACTTACTGCCACGTGAATTGAAACGGTCAAAACAATTTCATGAAACATTGTGCAATTCTTGTAATTCAGTAATTGTTCATTAAATATGGAGGCATGTAGAAGTAATCCAAGATCCCATTTTATCCATACTCCTATTGCCGCCACTAACAAAGATTACGTATTTACTTTTTTTATTATGTTCATTTCACCAGACCGTAGACGTAGGTTCATTACATATATACATATACATATCTAGGGGGCACGGGTGGCCCAGTCGTCTAAGGCACCGCGATTCGCTGTGCAGAGTTGTCCCTTGGGCACGCCTGAAACCTATGACTGTGGGTTCGAATCCCGCTTCGCCCCGCTTATGTTTCGAGGCTTGTCAGCACCATACCCGTGCTCGAGGGTTTCACCGAAGTGGTAAACGTCTGAGACCTGCATCACTTCGGGCTTTCCTCCAACATGCTGACACGCCGTGATATAACTGGAATACTGTTAAAAGGGGCGTTAAACCCAACTCACTCAAGTAATATATCTATATAATTATGCAAAACAATATGTATCGTTCCCTTGAGACTTACCTTAAGAGGTAACAAATGGTTGACGCCAATGGGATCTTACCCGTGAAGATCCGGGGTGGAATAGGTCTTCAGCAAACCCATGCTTGCCGTAAAAGGCGACTATGCTTGTCGTAAGAGGCGACAAACGGGATCGGGTGGTCAAGCATGTGGACTTGGTTGATGCATGTTATCGATCCCAATTGCGTGGATCGATGCTCATGATGTGAATCACTGGATTATCTTGTCCAGACCCGATTATTTACAGACCGCCGTCATATACATGTAGCTGGAATATTACTGAGTGCGGCGTTAACCAACAAACCAATCCACTAACTGTACATTTATTATCGGTAGAAGCCCATCACAGTGATAGTGTTCCTCGTTGTTTCAAAGCTGGGACAGCCTGATATGACGGATGTTATGTCTAAATGCAAGGACGCGGGACCGTGCACCTGCCACACAGTGTGACAAAGAGATAACAGATCTAGACAGACAAGCAGGCATGCACACAATGTTGAAGGGGCGGATATTTATTTACATTCTGTCATCATGTTACAACACATCCTGCTAACCCATGAAGATCCGGGTAGTATAGGTTTTCAGCAACCCATTCCTGCCGTAAAAGGCGACTATGCTTGTCGAAAGAGGCGACTAACGGGATCGGGTGGTCAAGCACGCTGACTTGGATGACGCATGTCATCGATCCCAATTGCGCCGATCGATGCTCATGATGTCAATCACTGGATTGCGTGGTCCAGACTTTATTATTTACAGACAGCTGTCATATTATAGCTGAAATATTGCTGAGTGCGGGGTTAAGCAACAATTAACCAACCAACCATCCTCTGGCATACAAACATTCTTGTTGTCAACAAGATGCTACAAGTCCATGTTTTCTTGCCTTTTAGAAATGCACAGTGGCACAACTTGAACCTACAATAGAAGAAACGACGTGTGGTGCGCGGATAACCAACAGAAAACACCAACGGGCCACTCACTGAGACAGTTTTTCACAAACAAGATACCTTATTTATATTTGTTAAATACACCTTTACTATCAGACATAAACACATAAACCATTAGAAGTACCATATTATTAACACAGAAAAGATACGTAGTAAAGATATGATTCTATTGTAAGGTTTTTGGAAAGGAGGGCTAGCATAGACAGTGAGTGAGTGAGTTTTGGTTTTACACCGCTTTTAGCAATATTCCAGCAAAATCACCAGAAATGGGCCAACCTTAAGTATTTATAGACGCTTCAATACTTATTTGTAATCCCTTTTGAATACATCACCAGACACGCGAAGATTCCGGGGTCTTCTGCATCCCATGCTTGCCGTAAAAGGCGACTATGCTTGTCGTAAGGCATGACTAACGGGATTGGGTGGTCAGGCTCGCTGACATGGTTGATGCATGTCATCGACCCAAATCGCGTGATATCAATCTTGATATGCATCAACTAAGTCAGCGAGCCTGACCACCCGATCCCATTAGTCGCCTTTTACGACAAGCATAGTCGCCTTTTACGGCAAGCATGGGTTGCTGAAGACCTATTCTACCCCGGATCTTCATGGGTCGAGTTTGCTGAGGAAGCTGATGCTGATACGGCTGCCGCCATCCAAGCTCTTGTTCCTGAGTGCCAGGGTCGGACCATCTATGCCTTGGAGGCGGCAACTGAAGACCCCAGCACAGGTACGTGGATTACACACTTATACTTATGTATATCTCTATGGACATTAATGAATATACTGATTGTACCTGTGTAAATGTGTATTGGTGAAAACCGAAACCTGATTTTTAACAATGATGGATCGTCGATTCTACATTAATAATACATGTATTGCACCTCAACTGGTGATTTTATGAACGTTTTAAGTTAATAAAATATCATGTTGTAGGTTGATGTACTCATTTTTGATGAGCAAAACAGGAAAGACAAATGGGTCTATAGTATGTTGTTTAGTACTACGGTGAACTTTTAATCGCGTAAACAATATAAGTGAGACTCATTTATGAATTACTGTTTTGATCATCAAATTAGGACCCGTGAAGATCCGGGTTAGAATCAATTTTCAACAATCAAGGCTGGAGAGTCTGAACAGGAAACTGACGAGATCGTGTGATCAGGCTCGCTGACTTGGTTGATGCATGCCATCGCATTCCCATTGCATGGATCGATGCTCATGATCAATCACTGGAACGTCAGGTCCAGATTATTTGCAGACCGCCGTCATTTAGCTGGAATATGGCTGAGCGCAAAGTTGAGAAACAGACAAACAAACAAATCACACAAACTAGTTGGCACACTCCCATGCCGTTAGGGTATGACACCATGCTATCATACAAGACTGACAACACGATCCAATTTACTCGCCTCTTACGACAAACAATGCTGGGTAACGGGTACCAATTTTAATCATCTGGTCCCCGTAAAAAGCGTCAATGCTTGTCGTAAGAGGCGACTAACGAGATCGGGTGGTCAGGCTCGCTGACCAGGTTGATGCATGCCATCGGATCCCCCTTGCATGTATCGATACTGATATCAATCTTTGGATTGTCTGGTCCAGACTCGATTATTTACAGACCGCCGTCATATAGCTGGAATATTGCTGAGTGTGGCGCTTAACAACAAACAAAGACATGGTTAATAGCGGTCCAAATATTCTTTTTAATGCCTCCGATTATAGTTTCATGCAGAGAGAGTGCGGTTGGAAACCTATTGTAGACTGCGATATGTTGAGGGACTAGGATGGTACACGCACTGTGCACTTGGGTTAACCTGCGTCATCTGATCGAATGTGATGACAAAAAGCAACATCACACATCGACCCTCTTGTAGTTCAAATTCATGATAGATATTTTATGATTCTTTAGGCTGATCTACATTTAATAGCCCTGTGGCACAGACTAGTCCAGATTACACCATTTGACACTTTTCGGTAATTATTTCGGAAAACTTTGCATTTGTGTAGCAGTTTGTTTTCCCGTGCAATAAAACACATACTCATATATACTGGCATTTTAGACGTAAGTTCAGTTTTTTAACCTACAGAATATTTGTTGTTTCCATATCAATTTAAATGGACGTTAATATTGACTGTTCGTAACCAGTTTTGAAAACCTGTTTGTTATTGAATAAAATATTGTTCATGGACATGAGTATTTCTGTCGTTCTTTAACACCTTACTTTACCTGGATTTGCGAAAGTAGGATCTCGGATTTTTTATGATAATTTCATCAGTTCAAAGAAATTTGATAAAAACAATTAGAAATTGGAAAATATATAGTCTATAAAAAATATAATGGAATAAAGTATTTACCCAATTTAGAAATTAGATATGTGAAATTGTTAGAGTTCCAGGATAAATTCATATACAAAGTTATTTACACAAAAAAGAATTACTCAGATGAAATTGATTGATAATGATGTGTGTCCCTTTTGCAACTGTAATTATAGCTAAGATCTTTTACATGTATTTTGTGATTGTGAATGAGTCCTTGGTATTTGTATGCAAGTTCAGTCATTTATAAAAAAGAGGCCTGAAACTTGATATCACTTTCACATGACATACTGGTATTGTCTTTGGACAATAAAATTGTTTGATATAGCAAACAATTTTATCTAATTTGATTCTGTTTTCATGTCTTCAAGTCAAGGTCCTGACACCATTGATCGATTGAAGCACAGCATAAAATATTGTAATTACAATTCTGAATACATTATACACTTGTTTATACCCATATATTCCCTGTTTAAGAATAATGACTCCCGATGCGTAAATTTTGTTAATATCACATGCTGTTGTGTCATAGATTCCTTAATATGGTCTCTTTATACCATTGAAATGGAATAAAAACTGTTTGAAAAATCAACAACCGCCTTTGTAACTGGTGTGAGGTGAGAGTGTTTGTTCGTTTGCTCAATTAACTTTGAACTAAAAACGTGAGTAACGACATTCTTAATTATATTCCACCCATCATTTGATACTTGACAATTTCAGGTAGAAAATGTATAATCCCCGCATCGACGTTATCATACATGACTAACACTCTGAGTAAAACCTGATCGTTGGTCGAAGCACGCGAGTTTTTTTACTTGAACGTTTGTAGCATATGTTACAGAGCAATTGATAACATAGCATGATGTGTAATTGGCTTCACAGGTCCATAGAATAGGAGATAGCATCAGTCACGTTTCACTGCACATGCGTAAGGCACACCTACAGTCAGTGTGTATATGACAAACCCATGATATAATCACACATGCTGTGCACATGTCTTTATTGCTTTGATTGTTTGTTCTTTTAAGCCGAAGTCAGCTGTATGGCGGTGGTCTATCCAGGCAATCCAATGAGAGTGTTTCTAACTGAAATACGCAATACACACTACCGTATACGAAATAACATGGCAACGAAGCATGGTTGCTTTGACTGCTTGTGGTTCTTTTAGCTAAACGATTTGGAAAATTTGTTTTGCGAAAAAAGGTGCAAAAACTGTGACGCATTGTTTAATATATAGTAGTCCTAAATCAGATGTCAATAACGTCATAAAGACGTTGTAAACTTGAGGAAGAGACAAAACTATTAATATCATAGTATTTAAATCAATCATGAAGTTTTAAATGACATTGCTCCAAACCGATTGCCGAGTAATCCCAACTCTGCTAAATTTAAATGTTGTGACCAGAACTATATTCACTGACCTATCCGATATCAGATTTTCAAAACAATACCTTTGATTAAGTTAGTATAAATAGTCAAATCTAATGAAAATTAAATGTTCACGTGTTGGCATGAGTCACTGTTACTGTGTGAGGTGAGGTGAAATTGGGTTTAACGTCGCGTCCAATATTATTGCACTTATATAATGACGTGCATGCACGTGTGTGTGTGCGTGTGTGTGTGTCTGCTTGTACTAGTCCGGACTGATACCGATTTATAGTGCTAGCTCACTGAGATACCATGCCGCAGTTTAACATGAATACCCCATTAAGACACAGCATAGTGACTCCGAGCCGACCAGTCATTGTTTAAGCCCCCTTATGCCGAGCGCCAGACAGGGTACCAACAAGTACCACCTTTTTTCGTCTTTTGGTATGACGCGGCCGGGAATCGAACCCTGGATCTTCCGCTCTCCAGGCGGACAGTCTACCACTAGACCACCGAGGCGGTCCTGTAACAGTGCGTGATCATAGTACAGTGTGTTGCCAAGGTGTTGTACGAGTGCCTGCCTTGATTGATTATCTGAATGTATTGGTCGCTTTTCAACGAGTGCACCTTTTGTTTAAGTGAAATTAGGTAACTCGAGCATCATGACTAGCGATGTGTCCAATCTTACCAAAATGTATTTTGAATCTGATTTGATTTGAATTGTATTGCTCACCACCGTTAACATGTTGATGTTTGCAATAAATTATCTAGTTCTGATTATAATTATGATCTGACCAAGGCCTACCTACATAGCTCATCCAATTATAGACGAAAGACAGATACTTGCAGCAAGAGCGTATGATGGTTCTATCCTTTCCATAAACAACAAGTAAATGCAAAGGATGGTGTTCTACTACATGTATTTTATTACACCTTCACGTCTTGTAATCTTATCTGACAACATTCATTGTTGATCCCCGAACGACGGCGCGATAAGGTAACCAGAAAAAGACGTATAAACCTGAAAAGCTCTTCCAAACACATACGCGTGTGCTCCTAGGGATCGTACCCATACCTGGTCCCCCTTCTTCAGTTGTAGTATAGCAGAGTTGCTACCACCATCATATTCATGACTGGAATAAGCATGAACAGTCACAACAACATTGTTGTTGTGCATGAGCTCCAGCCATAGCGATTTTTTCTTTTGAGATAGAGCGTGGACTTGAAAGCTGTAGATCCCGCTCTGAGGACATTTGAACTTCCCCGTGTGTCTGTCGTATGCCTTGCCAACGTTCAGGAAGATGTTGTTGTTCCGAAGGACTTGTCCACGGGTAAGCACCACATCATGCGACAGACCAGTTGAAAAGGCAATCTGGTAGACTGGTTTACCCATCGCAGCTGAAACATAATATATTTTCATTGAAAATAACCAACGATTTATTTAAAATTACTCATAATTTCTCCCATGTAAGTGAATTATCCCTATCAACCAAGTCATTGAGCATGACCACCCGATCCCGTTAATAGCCTCCCACGACTAGCATAGTCGCCTTTTACGGCAAGCATGGGTTACTGATGACCTTTTCTACCCCGGATCTTCACGGGTATCTGGAAAATCCATATACAGATTTGTATATCAACAAGAATATATATTGTTCTGGTCATGGTAGGTCATTAACATTATTTGAATCTTTATGCCATCTATCAATCTATAGGTATCTTGTTCAGCAAACATTACCTGCACCTCGGCACAGTAGCTGGTGTCACAGGAAAAATCAATACTGTCGATAGTGCGTCGGTAGAGATGACTTTCCCTCGATTTTCATATTCATATTTCAATTTAATAATACAGCGTCCGCCCGGAGAACGGAAGGTTCTAGGTTCGATGGTACTTGTTGTTACCCTGTCTGGCGCTCGGCTTTAAGGGGCTAAAACAAGGCCTGGTCGGCTTGGAGTCAGTATTCTGTGTCTGAGTGGGGTATCCATGTTAAACTGCGGCATGGTATCTCAGTGGGCTAGCACTATAAATCGGCATCAGTCCGGGCTAGTACAAGCAGCCACACACACACACTGCACGTCACTGTATAAGTGCAATAATCTTGAACGCGACGATAAACCCAATTTCTCCTCACCACCTATAATAATACTCAATAGTTTGTAAATAAAGATGTGCAACGAAATCTAAACGAATGTTTAGCTGATAACTTACATGGTTGGTTGATTGGTTTCTTGTTTAACGCCGCACTCAGCAATACTCCAGCTTTATGATGGGGGTCTTTAAATAATCGAGTCTGGACCAGACAATCCAGTGATTGATCTCATGAGCATCGATCCACGCAATTGGGATCGATTACATGCATCAACCAAGTCAGTGAGCCTGACCACCCGATCCCGATAGTCGCCAAGCATAGTCGCCTTTTACAGCAAGCTTGGGTTGCTGAAGACCTATTCTACCGCGGATCTTCACGGGCCGTGTACATACGTAACAAGTACTTGTTGGAAACTGAAAACCACAGTTTCTCGTCTGTAAATGTTAATAGCAAATGATTATCGTACGTTTTACCATTGTGGAAAAAAACCCTACTGAAACGTGCAGGGTGCAGGGAAGAAATTATGGATCGAATCTGCAAACACATGCTTAGGTTTTCGTTGAAAAATACCACGGCCAATAAGGGCACAGAATTCTGAGTCACCTACAGTTAGTGGTTCTTGATTATGTAAGCATTACGGACATATATGTTCCTATGGGAAATACGTTTATGGGTTATACATATACCTGGATGTTTGATTGAGTACAGCTTACATAATGTTACAATTCCTAAGGTCACTGCTGTTGGCAGATTTACCCGATTTCAACTTGCCCAAAGGTACCACCAACCACATGAAGACTCGTGATTTGTTAGTCATCTTTGAATGCAGGAGCAATGAATAAATACTGATTATGCATGTATCCGTTTTATTTAATTAGCATTTCCCTTTGTGTTAACAGGTATTAAGAAGAAGGCGGTGGGCACAGTGTAACACTATAAGACAAAGTACCGACTAATTTGTTTAACAAATACAATCCCCTTGTCAACAAAGGATACCCCTTATGGAATATCTAACCTGCTGTTCAGAGGGACCCTCTCGATGTTCAATCATCACCGTTGCATATAATTGTACGTAAGTTATTTTCCACTTACCCGCAAGGACCACCAACCCTAGGAAGATACTGCATAGGTTCATCTCTGCAAGTGTTAGGTATACCTTCGTGCAGAGATGGTTATAAAGCATACAGGTGCGAAAGTCTTTAGCACGGGTGTACCAGGATATAGATGCAATCACTGCAACATGTGCTCGTGTCTGTCAGTGAATATAACACATATGTATTTACGTATTGAAGTATGGCGTGAAATTACTGCCACGTGAATTGAAACAGTCAAAATAAATTCATGAAACTTTGTGCAATTCTTGTAATTCATTAATTGTTCATTAAATATGGAGGCATGTAGAAGTAATACAAGATCCCATCTGCACCAAACTACTATTGCCGTCACAAAAAAATTACGTATTTACTTTTTTTATTATGTTCATTTCACCAGACCGTAGACGTAGGTTCATTACATATATACATATATATCTAGGGGGCACGGGTGGCCCAGTCGTCTAAGGCACCGCGATTCGCTGTGCAGAGTTGTGTCCCTTGGGCACGCCTGAAACCTGTGACTGTGGGTTCGATTCCCGCTTCGCCCCGCTTATGTTTCGAGGCTTGTCAGCACCATACCCGTGCTCGAGGGTTTCACCGAAGTGGTAAACGTCTGAGACCTGCATCACTTCGGGCTTTCCTCCAACATGCTGACACGCCGTGATATAACTGGAATATTGTTAAAAGCGGCGTTAAACCCAACTCACTCACTGTAATATATCTATATAATTATGCAAAACAATATGTATCGTTCCCTTGAGGCTTACCTTAAGAGGTAACAAATGGTCGACGCCCCGTCCCTTAAAGTTGATGTTCGCATGGCGTTCATTAGGACTCTTCTAGACACCTCCACTACTATCCAGGAAGTCCAAAATGAATCTGGACTCATCCGAAAACTTCACATGAGACCATCGGCTAATACCCCAGCTTAATCTACCCCCGAAACACCTTTGGCGCCTGGCCAGAAAGTGTCGTACAGCACGGCTCGCCCATCATGCCAATTTATAGCACTAGCTCACTGAGATACCATGCCGCAGTTTAACATGAATACACCACACATACACAGTATACTGCCTCCGAGCCGACCAGTCCTTGTTTTAGCCCCTTAATGCCGAGCGCCAGACAGGGTAACAACAAATACCATCTTTTAACGTCTTTTGGTATGACGCGGCCGGGGATCCAACCGGATCTTCCGCTCTTTTGTTATTTACTTAATTACAAATTACATCTATTCCTGGACTTGCCACTGTTCGGGTTAACCTTGGCTTTGCACTTGGAAACAGGAAACAATACGTTAATGGTTAAATTTTACAGGAGCTAAACTGCAACACAAAACAATGCTGGTTGATGTCAATATATGTTTCAAAAGTTGAGAGAGGAAAGTTTAATAGATGAAATGGTAACATTCGAAATCACCCAATTTATGTTACATAAAGCTGTTTGATTATTTCTTCTCACAAGTCCAACTAGACAGCCCCCTTTGTTTGATGCTTCTAATTCAGGACAACAGGGCCAGTGGGACATCAGTCGCAATAACACATAACACCCCAATGGGATCTTACCCGTGAAGATCCGGGGTGGAATAGGTCTTCAGCAACCCATGCTTGCCGTAAAAGGCGACTATGCTTGTCGTAAGAGGCGACAAACGGGATCGGGTGGTCAAGCATGTTGACTTGGTTTATGCATGTTATCGATCCCCATTGCGTGGATCGATGCTCATGATGTCAATCACTGGATTATCTTGTCAAGACCCGATTATTTACAGACCGCCGTCATATAGCTGGAATATTACTGAGTGCGGCGTTAACCAACCAACCAATCCACTAACTGTACATTTATTATCGGTAGAAGCCCATCACAGTGATAGTGTCCCTCGTTGTTTCAAAGCTGGGACAGCCTGATATGACGGATGTTATGTCTAAATGCAAGTACGCGGGACCGTGCACCTGCCACACAGTGTGACAAACAGATAACAGACAGACATGCAGGCACGCTGCACAATGTTGAAGGGGCGGATATTTATTTACATTCTGTCATCATGTTACTACACATCCTGCTAACCCGTGAAGATCCGGCGTAGAAAAGGTCTTCAGCAACCCATTCCTGCCGTAAAAGGCGACTATGCTTGTCGTAAGAGGCGACTAACGGGATCGGGTGGTCAAGCACGCTGACTTGGTTGATGCATGTCATCGATCCCAATTGCGCCGATCGATGCTCATGAAGTCAATCACTGGATTGTCTGGTCCAAACTCGATTATTCACAGACAGCTGTCATATTATAGCTGGAATATTGCTGAGTGCGGGGTTAAACAACAATCAAACAACAAACCATTCTCTGGCATACATACATTCTTGTTGTCAACAAGATGCTACAAGTCCATGTTTTCTTGCCTTTTAGAAATGCACAGTGGCACAACTTGAACCTACAACAGAAGCAACGACATGTGGTGCGCGGATAACCATCAGATACACCAACGGACCACTCACTGAGACACAATTTTTCACAAACAAGGTACCTTAGTTATATTTGTTAAATACACCTTTACTATCTGACATAGACACATACAAGATTAGAAGTTCCATATTATTAAAACCGAAAAGCTACGTAAAGATATGTTTCTCTTGTAAGAGATACAGGTTTTTGGAAAGGAGGGCTAGCATATACAGTGAGCGAGTGAGTTTTCGTTTTACGCCGCTTTTAGCAATATTCCAGCAATATCACAAGAAATGGGCTTCACACATTGTACCCATGCCGGGAATCGAACCCGGGTCTTCGGCGTGACGAGCGAACGCTTTAACCACTAGGCTACCCGACCGCCTCTACATACATTACTTGCTAGATGAATGCAAAGAAATCGCGAAACATTAAGCGTTTCCCAGTCGTGTTATGTAATCGGGTGCAAGCGTATACCAAATGAGTTGGATACATTTAGTTTTTTGTACGTTTATATGTCAGTTTGCTTCCCCAACCATTCTCAAAGCTACATACATCCGGATATAAGTATTTATAGACGCTTCAATACTCATTTGTAATCCCTTTTGAATACATCACCAGACCCGCGAAGATTCCGGGGTAGAATAGGTCTTCAGCAACCAATGCTTGCCGTAAAAGGTGTCTATTCTTGTCGTAAAAGGCGACTAACGGTATCGGGTGGTCATGCTCGCTGACGAAGTTGATGCATGTCATCGATCCAAATCGCGTGATATCAGTCTTTGGATTGTTTGGTCCAGACTCGATTATTTACAGACCCCCGTCATATATCTGGAAAATTGCTGAGTGCGGCGTTAAACAACAAACCAAGAACAACCAATACATCACCTGTTTTTCTATCCAATTTCATGTAACATTTAATACTCTCAGATAAGACCAGATACGAGCCGCCACCACGTCCTGCTACATACAACGCCTGACCCCGATGCCAGAAGGGGTAACTTATATGCTTAATCTTGTTTCCAATTATATAACCAGTCATTTCATCGATCATTTAATAAGAAAGATAGATATATTAAATTACATCAAATTATCTTTTTTTAATATTAGATTGACTATGCTATGACTACTTTGACTGAGTTTGCTGAGGTTGGTTTGTTGTTTTACGCCGCACTCAGCAATATTCCAGCTATATGACGGCGGTCTGTAAATAATCGAGTCTGGACCAGACAATCCAGTGATAAATTCATGAGCAAAGATCTACGCAATTGGGATCGATGACATGCATCAACCAAGTCAGCGAGCATGACCACCCGATCCCATTAGTCGCCTTTTACGACTAGCATAGTCGCCTTTTACGGCAAGCATGGGTTGCTGAAGACCTATTCTACCCCGGATCTTCACGGGTCGAGATGGCTGAGGAAGCTGATCCTGATACGGCTGCCGCCATCCAAGCTCTTGTTCCTGAGTGCCAGGGTCGGACCATCTATGCCTTGGAGGCGGCAACTGAAGACCCCAGCACAGGTACGTGGATTACACACTTATACTTATGTATATCTCTATGAACATTAATGAAATATACTGATTGTACCTGTGTAAATGTGTATTGGAGAAAACTGAAACCTGATTTTAACAATGTTGAATCGTCGATTCTACATTAATAATACATGTATTGCTTTAAACACCTAAACTGGCGATTTTATGAACGTTTTAAGTTCATTAAATATCATGTTTTAAGTTGATGTACTCATTTTTGATGAGCAAAACAGGAATTACGAATGGGTCTATAGTATGTTGTTTAGTACTACGGTGAACTTTTAATCGCGTAAACAATATACGATAGACCTATTTATCAATTACTGTTTTGATCATCAAATTAGGACCCGTGAACATCCCGGTTAGAATCAATTTTCAGCAATCCAGTCTGGAGAGTCTGAACAGGAAACTGACGAGATCGTGTGATCAGGCTTGCTGACTTGGTTGATGCATGCCATCGCATTCCCATTGCATTGATCGATGCTCATGATATCAATCACTGGATCGTCAGGTCCAGATTATTTGCAGACCGCCGTCATTTAGCTGGAATATGGCTGAGCGCGAAGTTGAGAAACAGACAAACAAACAAATCACACAAATAAGTTGGCACACTCCCATGCCGTTAGGGTATGACACCATGCTATCATACAAGACTGACAACTCGATCCAATTAACTCGCCTCTTACGACAAACAGTGCTGGGTAACTGGTACCAATTTTAATCATCTGGTCCCTGTAAAAAGCGTCAATGCTTGTCGTAAGAGGCGACTAACGAGATCGGGTGGTCAGGCTCGCTGACGAGGTTGATGCATGTCATCGATGAATATACTGATTATACCTGTGTAAATGTGTATTGGAGAAAACTGAAACCTGATTTTTAACAATGATGAATCGTCGATTCTACATTAATAATACATGTATTGCTTTAAACACCTAAACTGGCGATTTTATGAACGTTTTAAGTTCATTAAATATCACGTTTTAAGTTGATGTACTCATTTTTGATGAGCAAAACAGGAATTACAAATGGGTCTATAGTATGTTGTTTAGTACTACGGTGAACTTTTTAATCGCGTAAACAATATAAGATAGACCCATTTATGAATTACTGTTTTGATCATCAAATTAGGACCCGTGAAGATCCGGGTTAGAATCAATTTTCAGCAATCCAGGCTGGGGAGTCTGAACAGGCAACTGACGAGATCGTGTGATCAGTCTCGCTGACTTGGTTGATGCATGCCATCGCATCCCCATTGCATTGATCGATGCTCATGATATCAATCAAAGTGATGTCTGGAATCATTTAGCTGGAATATTGCTGAGCGCGAAGTTAAGAAACAGACAAACAAACAAATCACACAAATCAGTTGGCACACTTCCATGCCGTTAGGGTATGAACCAATGCTATCATACAAGACTGACAACTCGATCCAATTTACTCGCCTCTTACGACAAACAGTGCTGGGTAACGGGTACCAATTTTATTCATCTGGTCCCCGTAAAAAGCGTCATTGCTTGTCATAAGAGGTGACTAACGAGATCGGTTGGCCAGGCTCGCTGATGAGGTTGATGCATGCCTATATCGCATCCCCATTGCATGGATCGATGCTCATGATATCAATCACTGGATTGTCTGGTCTAGACTCTGTTAGTTACAGACAGCCTGGAATTACCTGGAATTGCGAATGTAGGATCTCGGCTTTTTTATGATAATTTCATCAGTTCAAAGAAATTTGATAAAAAAATTGAGTAATGGGAAAATATATAATCTATAAAAAATATAATGGAATAAAGTATTTACCCAATTTAGAAATTAGATATGTGAAATTGTTAGAGTTTCAGGATAAATTCATATACAAAGTTACTTACACAAAAAAGAATTACTCAGATGAAATTGATTGATAATGATGTGTCTCCCTTTTCCAACGGTAATTATAGCTAAGATCTTTTACATGTATTTTGTGATTGTGAATGTGTCCTTGGAATTTGTATGCAAGTTCAGTCATTTATAAAAAAGAGGCCTGAAACTTGATATTACTTTCACATGACATGCTGGTATTGTCTTTGGACAATAAAATTGTTTGCTATAGCAAACAATTTTATCTAATTTGATTCTGTTTTCATGTCTTCAAGTCAAGTTTCTTACACCATTGATCGATTGAAGCACAGCGTAAAATATCGTAATTACAATTCTGAATACATTATACACTTGTTTATACCCATATATTCCCTGTTTAAGAATAATGACTCCCACCATGTACAATTTTGTTAATATCACATGCTGTTGTGTCATAGATTCCTTAATATGGTCTCTGTATACTATTGAAATGGAAAAAAAACTGTTTGAAAAAACAACAACCACCTTTGTAACTGGTGTGAGGTGAGAGTGTTTGTTCGTTTGCTCAATTAACTTTGAACTAAAAAAGTGAGTAACAACATCCTTACTTATATTCCACCCATCATTTGATACTTGACAATTTAAGGTAGAAAGTGTATAATCCCGCATCGACGTTATCATGCATGACTAACACTCTGAGTAAAACCTGATCGTTGGTCGAAGCACGCGAGTTTTAAACGTGAGCTGACTTGAACGTTTGTAGCATATGTTACAGAGCAATTAATAACATAGCATGATGTGTAATTGGCTTCACAGGTCCATAGAATTGGAGATAGCATCAGTCACGTTTCACTGCACATGCGTAAGGTCAGTGTGTATATGACACACCCATGATATCACCACACATGCTGTGCACATGTCTTTATTGCTTTATTCATTTGCTCTTTTAAGCCGGATTCAGCAGTATGGCGGTGGTCTGTCCAGGCAATCCAATGAGAGTGTTTCTAACTGAAATACGCAATACACACTACCGTATACGAAATAACATGGCAACGAAGTATGGTTGCTTTGTCTGCTTGTGGTTCTTCTTGCTAAACGATTTTGGAAATTTGTTTTGCGAAAAAAGGTGCAAAAGATGTGACACATTTGATATATTGTTGTCCTAAATCAGATGTCAATAACGTCATAAAGACGTTGTATACTTGAGGAAGAGACAAAACTATCAATATCATAGTATCGAAATCAATCATGAAGTTATAAATGACATTGCTCCAAACCGATTGCCGAGTAATACTAAACTCTGCCAAATTTAAAATATTGTGACCAGAACTATATTCACTTACCTATCCGATTCCAGAGATTTTCAAAACAATACCTTTGATTAATTTTGCATAAATAATCAAATCTAATGAAAATTAAATGTTCACGTGTTGGCATGAGTCACTGTTACTGTGTGAGGTGAGGTGAAATTGGGTTTAACGTCGCGTCCAAGATCATTGCACTTATATAGCGACGTGCATGCACGTGTGTGTGTGTGTGCGTGTGTGCGTGACTGCTTGTACTAGTCCGGAATAATGCCGATTTATAGTGCTAGCTCACTGAGATACCATGCCGCAGTTTAACATGAGTACCCCGTTCAGACACAGTAAACTGACTCTGTGCCGACTAGTCCTTGTTTGAGCCCTTTTATGCTGAGCGACAGAAAGGTTTATCAACAAGTACCCCCTTTTAACGTCTTTTGGTATGACGCGACCGAGAATCGAACAGCGGATCTTCCGCTCTCCGGGCGGACACTCTACCACAAGACCACAAAGGCGGTCCTGTAACTGTACGTGATCATAGTACAGTGTGCTGCCAAGGTGTTTTATGAGTGAGTGCCTTGATTGATTATCTGAGTGTATTGGTCGCTTTTCAACGACTGCACCTTTTGTCTAAGTGAAATTAAGTAACGCGAGCATCATGACTAGTGATGTGTCAAATCTTACCAAAATGTATTTTGAACCTGATTTGATTTGATTTGTATTGCTCACCACCGTTAACATGTTGATGTTTGCAATACATTATAATCTCTAGTTCTGATTATAACTATGATCTGACCAAGGCCTACCTACATAGCTCATCCATTTATAGATGAAAGACAAATGCTGGCAGCAAGAGCGTATGATCGATGGTTCTATCCTTTCCATAAACAACAAGTAAATGCAAAGGATGGTGTTATACTACATGTATTTTATTACACCTTCACGTCTTGTAATCTTATCTGACAACATCTCCGAACGATGGCGCGATAAGGTAGCCAGAAAATGACGTATAAACCTGGTTAGATCTTCCAAACACATACGCGTGTGCTCCTCCGGATCGTACCCATACCTTATCCCCCTTCTTCAGTTGCAGTATAGCGGAGTTGCTAGCACCGTCATATTCATGACTGGAATGAGCATAAACACCCACAACAAGATTGTTGTTGTGCACAAGATCCAGCCATAGCCATTTCTTGTGTGGAGTTATAGCGTGGACTTGGAAGCTGTAGATCCCACTCTGAGGACATTTGAACTTCCCTGTATGTCTGTCGTAAGCCTTGCCAACGTTCAGGAAGATGTTGTTGTTCCGAAGGACTTGTCCACGGGTAATCAATACATCATGCGACAGACCAGTTGAAAAGGCAATCTGGTACACTGGTTTACCCATTGCAGCTGAAACAAAATATATTTTCATTGAAAGTAACCAACGATTTATTGGGAATTACTCATTATTTCTCCCGGGTAAATGAATTATCTATATCCCCTGCGTTTAGGTGCGCATTCAACACAGAGAGATAATATTTATATTCCGACTTTCGTGACTTTCAAACCAAAATTGAAGAAAAAGTATAACATTTACAAAAAGCTTGTCGATCTTCTTTTATCCTGTAAATAATTAGTATCAATTTCATAGCTTTTGAAGAAATAATATATTTTTTAATAAACTTCACCAAAATCACGCCATATCTGATGAATCAGCTTTGTAAATGGTCAATGTATGATATTTGTGCAGATACTAGAACTTTACGCATATCGAATGTCGATATCATGATATGTTGATTTCCACTTCATAGGATGAATTCTTATTGTTAAATGAGAGTTTCAGGATGCCAGTTAAGAGTTTTATATTACAGATGATAAAATCAAGTTTTAGGGTCATATGAAATGACAATGAAATGGCTCTTGCTCTGCCACTTGGTTCATGTATTCATCATACGCTAAAGGTGTGGGGCTTTGCTCATGGCATCAGCCACTGGTTTGTCTGACTCGATTTTATTTATTTGCATCTCGCATTGCTAATAACTTAAACCAATATATAACATGTAAAGGGGGAAGGGACCACGTTTGCCTAGTACAGTAGATTTCTTTACCCTCAAAAGCCTCTTACATACCTTTATCTGTACATAGTTTAATATTTAAAACACTCGTATATCAGATTCACTAAGTAGAGTGAGTGAGTGAGTGAGTTTGGTTTTACGGCCCTTTAAGCAATATTCCAGCAATATCACGGCGGGGGACACCAGAAAATGGGCTTCACATGTTGTACCAATGTCGGAAATCGAACCCGGATTGACGAGCGAACGCTTTAACTACTAGGCTACCCGACCACAAGTAGAACTTGTGCAACTTTAGTAACGATTATCAGCAAAAACAGGTAATCAGGGATTGGCTTAAAATTTATTGGCTTTAAAAGTTATAATAAAACATAGAACAATATCTTCTCAGCCCATGTGCTGGCATTTACATGGCCCCAAAACAAATTTTAATAAAAAGTAACTCCCAGGTATTTTATAACATGAAATACATTCTAACAGCTTCCGGTAATACCACTTTTCACTTTTTGCCAGGATACCCCATTCTTAAAAAATACACCTTTTGTCTTTTACTAATAAATAGCAAATATTTTCATTTGACACCATATTTTCTATCATAAATAAGAACACCACCACAAATGAACAGTAAGAAGAACAAATGCACTATGTCTTGATATGACTGAATGCCAAAAATACAAGATGATTCGATTTCCTGTGCTATCTCACTAATGGACATAAATAGTGGCTGAGAACACAAACTTGACGAACACCAGTGCTACATTCAAACAAATCTAACAAAGAAACTTTACACATAATTGGACTTCAGGATAAATAGACTGAGCACATTTTAATATTTTGGATGAAACAGCCTTCTATTTAGTACTGTCCATCTTGTTCAACAAACATTACCCGCGCCTCGGCACAGTAGCTGGCGTCACAGGAAAAATCAATAGTGTCGATAATGCGTCGGAAGAGATGACTTTCCCTCGATTTTCATATTCATATTTCACTTTAATGATACAGCGTCCGCCCGGAGAGCGGAAGGTTCGTGATTCGATGGTACTTGTTGTACCCCATTTCAGCTCACCATCTTTGATAATACACAATAGATTGTATCTAAAGATGTACAACGAAATCTAATCGAATGTTGAGCTGATAACTTACATGGATCAAATATGAGCGACATCCGCAATTTCATGTCACAGACAATGGGACTGTCTCAAACTATTTTGTAAATTATTTCAAATTCACACAACTGTGATTTAGCGATGCACTGTTGTTCATTGTTTTGTTAGTGAACACATGTCAGCATATGTTGTCTTAAAATGAACTTTCAAGTCAAATTTAAAAAAATAAATGAAAGTTTCGTAAAATGCCTTGCATCAACCCACCCTTGCCCGTCCAAATGATCTTAAATGTGTGACATCCGGTGACGACCCAGTCAACTGCATTCCTTATTACAGCTGTTATCAAGTATTGGAGTAGGCATTGTGCCACAGCAGATTTCTAGAATACGTGTGTACTGACGTTGGTTGGTTGGTTTGGTTTGTTCTTTAACGCCACACTCTCCAATATTCCAGCTATATGACGGCGGTCTGTAAATAATCGAGTCTGGACCAGACAATCAGAGTGATTGACAACATCAAAATCGTTGGGATCGGTGACAGCGTCAAACAAGTCAGCGAGCCTGAACACCCGATCCCGTTAGTCGCCTCTTACGACAAGCATAGTCGCCTTTTGCAGCAAGCTTGGGTTGCTGAAGACCTATTCTACCCCGGATCTTCACGTGCCGTTACATACATAACATTATGGAGACGGGTGAATGAAAATAGAGTTAATTGACAAGTACTTGCAAGAAGAAACCTACGGTCTCTCGTCTGTAAATTTTAATAGCAAATGCTATTTCCTGGGTGCTTATCGTACGTTTTACCATTGTGGAAAAACTATGATACGTGCAGGGTTGATGTGTATTTGAGAACATAATGGATCCAATCAACAAACACATGCTTATGTTTCCGTTGAAAAATACCACGGCCAATAAGGGAACAGAATTTTGATTCTACCCTTAAGATATAAAATTCTACTGTAGTGTCGTTTAATACGCAGGTCGGTTTTTTGCGTGTAGGCATACAGTAAGTGGTTCTTGATTTAGTAAGCATTACGGAAATATATTTTCCTATGGGAAACACGTTTATGGGTTATACATATACCTGGATGTGTGTTTGTGTGTAGCTTACATTATGTTACAATTCATATGAGTAAGGTCACTGCTGTTGGCAGATTTAACCGATTTTAACTTGTCCAAAAGTACCACCAACCGTATGAAGACCGTATTTGTTAGTCATCTTTGAAAGCAGGACCAATGAATACATACTGATTATGCATGTAGCCGTTTTTTTTAATTAACATTTCCCTTTGTGTTAACAGGTATTAGGAAAAAGGCGGTGGACACAGTGTAACACTGTGAGACAAAGTAACTACTAATTTTTTTAACATATACAATCCGCATATCAACAAAGGATGTCCCTTATGGAAAATAAGTATCTAACTCACTGTCTAGGGGGACCCTCTCGATGTTCAATCATCACCGTTGCATATAATTGTACATAAGTTATTTTCCACTTACCCGCAAGGACCACCAACCCAAGGAAGATACTGCATAGGTTCATCTCTGCAAGTGTTAGGTATACCTTCGTGCAGAGATGGTTATAAAGCATACAGGTGTGAAAGTCATTAGCATGGGTGTACCAGGATATAGATACAATCACTGCAACATGTGCTCGTGTCTGTCAGTGAATATAACACATATGTATTTACGTATTGAAGTGTGGCGAGAACTTACTGCCACGTGAATTGAAACAGTCAAAACAAATTCATGAAACATTGTGCAATTCTTGTAATTCAATAATTGTTCATTAAATATGGAGGCATGTAGAAGTAATCCAAGATCCCATCTGTATCCTTACTCCTATTGCCGCCACTAACAAAGATTACGTATTTACTTTTTTTATTATGTTCATGTCAACAGACGTGAACGTAGGTTCATTACATATATACATATACATACATAAATTATATATATTTAGGGGGCACGGGTGGCCCAGTCGTCTAAGGCGCCGCGTTTCGCTTCGCAGAGTTGCGTCCTTTGGGCACGCCAGAAAGCTATGATTGGGGGTTCGAATCCCGATTTTGTTTCGAGGCTTGTCAGCACCATACCCGTGCTCGAGGGTTTCACCGAAGTGGTAAACGTCTGAGACCTGCATCACTTCGGGCTTTCCTCCAACATTAATCAAACACGCCGTGATATAACTTGAATACTGTTAAAAGCGGCGTTAAACCAAACTCACTCACTGTAGTATAGCTATATAATTATGCAAAACAATAATATGTATAGTTCCCTTAAGGCTTGCATTATATTAGGCCTTTTATTCTTAATTCAGAATAAGTGCGTTTGTTTAGAAAAGTTCGGTCATTTGTTAAGCCTATACTGGATCAGAAACGGAATAAGAAAAGCGGAGCTAAGTACGCTCGGAGGCGAATACGCTACTGTTTACAAACCGTCGACGCCCCGTTCCTTTAAGTTGATGTTCGCATGGCGTTCATTAGGACGCCTCCAGACAATTCCACTCCTATCCAGGAAGTCCAAAGTGAATCTGGTGTCATCCGAAAACTTTTCATGAGACCATCGGCTAATATCCCAGTTTTATCTACCCCCTAAACCTTTCGCGTCTGGCCAGAAAGTGTCGTACATGTACAGCAAACAGTCGCCCAGCATGCAGACGATTTCTAATTTGGTCTGGTCAGTAACGTGAACACCTATGGCCTGGCACGAGTGGACAACGATTTGATTGGCTGTTTGTGCTCGATATCTTAGGGCCTGGTTTCTGATTAATCGACCCTGGAAATTTGTTGTTGACCTCCGGTGCCCTGTGCAGAGCTGATCATTAACACTTTGAATCTGCATGCTGAGCCTGGGAATGCTATCCTTATGTCTTCTTGTCCAGTGCGGACGCATACAAAGTTAAAACATCGATTTGTCTGCCTACTTCCAACACTGTTTCCTGACTGGTGATATTCGACTGTGGCAAATTCTAGACAATCGTGACTGCTCTGTCTAAAGTAAGTGGGCCTTTTAAAAATTGCTGTCACATATTTTGACCCATTGAATTAAATTTTTTTTAACCCAATCCTGTGTATTTCAATATGTGTTGTTAATTACTCAATGAGGTAAATTGTAATAGGGTTTAACGTCGCGTTATAAACTTATGTAGCGACGTTCATGGTTGCTTGTACAAGTCCGGACTGATGCCGATTTATAGTGCCAGCTCACTGAGATACCATGCCGCAGTTTAACATGAATACCCCACTCAGAGACAGTATACTGCCTCCGAGCCAGTCCTTGTTTTAGCCCCTTAATGCCGAGCGCCAGACAGGGTAACAACAAATACCATCTTTTAACGTCTTTTGGTATGACGCGGCCGGGGCTCCAACCGGATCTTCCGCTCTTTTGTTATTTACTTAATTACAAATTACATCTATTCCTGGACTTGCCACTGTTCGGTTTAACCTTGGCTTTTCAACTTGGAAACAGGTAACAATACGTTAATGGTTTAATTTTACAGGAGCTAAACTGCAACACAAAACAATGCTGGTTGATGTCAATATATGTTTCAAAAGTTGAGAGAGGAAAGTTTAATAGATGAAATGGTAACATTCGAAATCACCCAATTTGTGTTACATAAAGCTGTTTGATTATTTCTTCTCACAAGTCCAAACAGACAGCCCCCTTTGTTTGGTGCTTCTAATTCAGGACAACAGGGGCAGTGGGACATCAGTCGCAATAACACATAACACCCCAATGGGATCTTACCCGTGAAGATCCGGGGTAGAATAGGTCTTCAGCAACCCATGCTTGCCGTAAAAGGCGACTATGCTTGTCGTAAGAGGCGACAAACGGGATCGGGTGGTCAAGCATGTTGACTTGGTTGATGCATGTTATCGATCCCAATTGCGTGGATCGATGCTCATGATGTCAATCACTGGATTATCTTGTCCAGACCCGATTATTTACAGACCGCCGTCATATAGCTGGAATATTACTGAGTGCGGCGCTAACCAACCAACCATTCCACTAACTGTACATTTATTATCGGTAGAAGCCCATCACAGTGAAAGTGTTCCTCGTTGTTTCAAAGCTGGGACAGCCTGATATGACGGATGTTATGTCTAAATGCAAGGACGCTGGACCGTGCACCTGCCACACAGTGTGACAAACAGATAACAGACAGACATGCAGGCACGCACACAATGTTGAAGGGGCGGATATTTATTTACATTCTGTCATCATGTTACAACACATCCTGCTAACCCATGAAGATCCGGGTAGAATAGGTTTTGAGCAAATCCATTCCTGCCGTAAAAAGGCGACTATGCATGTCGAAAGAGGCGACTAACGGGATCGGGTGGTCAAGCACGCTGACTTGGTTGATGCATGTCATCGATCCCAATTGCGCCGATCGATGCTCATGATGTCAATCACTGGATTGAGTGGTCCAGACTTTATTATTTACAGACAGCTGTCATATTATAGCTGGAATATTGCTGAGTGCGGGGTTAAGCAACAATTAACCAACCAACCATCCTCTGGCATACATACATTCTTGTTGTCAACCAGATGCTACAAGTCCATGTTTTCTTGCCTTTTAGAAATGCACAGTGGCACAACTTGAACCTACAATAGAACGACGTGTGGTGCGCGGATAACCATCAGATACACCAACGGACCACTCACTGAGACAGTTTTTCACAAACAAGGTACCTTATTTATGTTTGTGAAATACACCTTTACTATCAGACATAAACACATAAAAGATTAGAAGTACCATATTATTTACACAGAAAAGATACGTAGTAAAGATATGATTCTATTGTAAGGTTTTTGGAAAGGAGGGCTAGCATAGACAGTGAGTGAGTGAGTTTTGGTTTTACTCCGCTTTTAGCAATATTCCAGCAATATCAGCAGAAATGGGCCAACCATAAGTATTTATAGACGCTTCAATACTTATTTGTAATCCCTTTTGAATACATCACCAGACCCGCGAAGATTCCGGGGTCTTCTGCATCCCATGCTTGCCGTAAAAGGCGACTATGCTTGTCGTAAGGCATGACTAACGGGTTTGGGTGGTCAGGCTCGCTGACTTGGTTGATCCATGTCATCGATCCAAATCGCGTGATATCAATCTTGATATGCATCAACCAAGTCAGCGAGCCTGACCACCCGATCCCATTAGTCGCCTTTGACGGCAAGCATAGTCGCCTTTTACGGCAAGCATGGGTTGCTGAAGACCTATTCTATCCCGGATCTTCTCGGGTCGGGTTTGCTGAGGAAGCTGATGCTGATACGGCTGCCGCCATCCAAGCTCTTGTTCCTGAGTGCCAGGGTCGGACCATCTATGCCTTGGAGGCGGCAACTGAAGACCCCAGCACAGGTACGTGGATTACACACTTATACTTATGTATATCCCTATGGACATTAATTAATATACTGATTGTACCTGTGTAAATGTGTATTGGTGAAAACCGAAACCTGATTTTTAACAATGATGGATCGTCGATTCTACATTAATAATACATGTATTGCACCTCAACTGGTGATTTTATGAACGTTTTAAGTTAATAAAATATCATGTTGTAGGTTGATGTACTCATTTTTGATGAGCAAAACAGGAAATACAAATGGGTCTATAGTATGTTGTTAAGTACTACAGTGAACTTTTAATCGCGTAAACAATATAAGATGGACTTATTTATGAATTACTGTTTTGATCATCAAGTTAGGACCCGTGAAGATCCGGGTTAAAATCAATTTTCAGCAGTCCAGGCTGGAGAGTCTGAACAGGCAACTGACGAGATCGTGTGATCAGGGTCGCTGACTTGGTTAATGCATGCCATCGCATCCCCACTGCATGGATCGATGCTCATGATATCAATCACTGGATTGTCTGGTCCCGATTATTTGCAGACCGACGTCATTTAGCTGGAATATTGCTGAGCGCGAAGTTGAGAAACAGACGAACAAACAAATCACACAAATCAGTTGGCATACTCCCATGCCGTTAGGGTATGACACCATGCTATCATACAAGATTGACAACTCGATCTAATTTACTCGCCTCTTACGACAAACAGTGCTGGGTAACGGGTACCAATTTTATTCATCTAGTCCCCATAAAAAGCGTCAATACTTGTGTAAGAGGTGACTAACGAGATTATTTACAGACAGCCGTCATATAGCTGGACTGTCCCTGAGTGTGGCGCTAAACAACAAATAAACAAACAAACAAAGACATGGTTAATATCTGTCCAAATACCTCCGATTTCAGTTTCATGCATTTATGATTTTTCTTTGCAGGAAGAAAGAAGAGAGAGTGCGGATGGAAAACCTATTGTAGACTGCGATATGTTGAGGGACTAGGATGGTACACCACTGTGCACTTGGGTTAACCTGCGTCATCTGAATGTGATGACAAAAAGCAACATAACACATCGACCATCTTGTAGATTCTTTAGGCTGATCTACATTTAATAGCCCTATGGCACAAACTAGTCCAGATTACAGCATATGACAATTTTCGGTAATTATTTCGGAAAACATTGCATTTGTGTAACAGTTTGTTTTTCCGTGAAATAAAACACATAC